CTAACCGATAAAGACCTCTTGCAAGATATTCCATTTTTAACTATTTCATTTAACCGTCCTGAGGCGTCGCCCTCGTGGAACACCCCTATTGCTTGTGAAAAGTTCTATCAGTTTTAGATAACAATAGATTTGTCTTTTAAATATAAACAATTTATTTTAAAACGCAAACAATAATTTGACAATTTTTTAAAAATATATAAACTGGGGGTTAATTCAACTCCACATGGTTTGTGCAAAGCTACAGAAAACGACAGAACTTTTGCACCCAGCCAAGAATATACCTTTCCTGAACCCTTGAATATTCCACATTTTTTTGAGGTTTCAATAAAATTCATATCCAGGAAAATACACGAATGAAACAAGACACACTGACGAGACAATCAGCAACCTAGAACCCCTAAAGGTAACCATGGGTGGGCAGTGAACCGTTTGGGCGTCCCTTTTGTGTTCTCTTAATCATCGTCCGTGTTTCTTTGACTCTTCCTAGCCGCGAGGCTTTCCGTTTCGACTCCGTTAAGTTCCGCCCATGGAACAATAGGACGTGTCGTCGAAAGTTATTTCAACTTGTGTTCCTCCGCTTCAACGCGAGCTTTCCAGCTGGCTCGCGGCGATAATAACGCGTTACAATGCGAGCTACGGTGTTTAACGTGATGAGAAAAACTCGTCCACGTGAATCAACGTTGTTCTCGGTAATCGCGTCCATGGAAGATTGAGTGTATGGCTGGTCGCTAACAAGCGCCAATTTCATTTAAAACATTACCGAGTATAAAGTGTTCGGCTCGGGTCGGCTTTGCATAATTCGAATCAAGTCAGATTCTCAAAAGTATACAGGGTGTTCGACAAGAGGTGGGCAAAATTTTAAGGGGTGATTCTAGGGATCAAAATAAGACGAAAATCAAGAATAACGAAATAGCGTTTGCGTTTGCGACTTTTAGATACGCAGAAACCCAACTCGAACAATGCGGACGAAATTTTAGATTTTTCATATCTACACTTTCCCAACACACATTGCGAAAAATATATCCGTATATACTTATGATAATAAGAAATGTTTTCTGTCCCGTCCTGACGCGACGATTGCATTAAGACGCTACACGCTTTATTACCCTGTATTATAAAAACAAACGTCGGGTGAAATGAAGCTAAAAAATGAATCGTCGAAGGATCAGCGAAAAGATAGAACGCGGGGGAGTTGCTTCAAACGGATGAGACTTCCGGTTCGCTCGGGGGCGTGGAAATGATTATTCAAGCAGGTACGAACTCTCGTAACGAGTAAAAAGAAAGAACGCGAGTCAAACGCGAGGGAAAACGGGAGGAGGTAAAAGCGAACCGGCAGATATTAAAAGCTGTTGGTCGCGAATAAATTCCTCGTAATTAAACGGTAGCCGCGTCGTTCATTCGGAAGCTGGAAGACCAAGGGATGGAAAAAAGAAAATGCTTTAATTAATTATGATACCGAGCAGGCGGTTGAAGAACGGGGCGAAAAGCAAAGTATAATAAAGGCAGATTCATTCGATTCCGTCTAAGAGTATCGCGAAAGACAATAAAAGGAGAAGAACAGAGCGAAATGGGAACGCTACAAGTGCCTTTCATCGGGACTACCTCTGTACCAGAGGATTAGGGGACTTGCTGAAGAAAGAATAAGAATTGAGAAAAAGTACTGAATGAAAGGGGAACAAAAAAAAGAAAGAAAGAAAGACAAACGAAGAAAAGAAATGTCTTTCAGTTGTTCTGCTCGAGGACAGGGATGAAAGAGAAGGAACAAGAACGAGAGAGGATCCGTGTGTCATGACTATTTTCCATCTTCTCGTCGTGTGCTGGCTTGGCGAAATTGCTGTCTTTCGAGAATAGAAACTCGCTGATAGCAATACCTACAGCATAAGAAATACTCGGTACAGATGGTCAAGGAATTGGAAACGAAAGCTATTTCTTCTTTAGCAAACCACCTGGAGGAATCTTATCTTCTTTTTAATATAGGTTTTACTCAGGGTCGGTTTTATCATTAGGCAGAACATGCAAGTGCTTTGGACACCATAGAGGTATTCGCCATTATCGATCATTTATTTGTCACTAAATTCATTAGATTCGATTTTGAAATTTAATTAAATAAGAATGGTGAAGATCCAAGCCCACGTTCGCAAAACCAACGCTCATTTTTCACAGTGAATGGTACAGAATAATTTCCACGCTACTCTTTCCCAACAAAAGCTTACTGCATATAGAAAAGGATATTATTAATAATATTATTAGGTGAGCTAAACGCATTAACCGTTTCAACCCCCTTACTCAATGTGGACAGAACGTGATCCTGATGCTTGCGCTTGCATTTTAAATTTTCTAATAAAATTTATTATTTATTACTTTCATAGGTTTCGTTAGAAGAGCTAACAATCTGCTAACATTCGATATGTATTTACTTTGTTCAATGGCATTAAGGAAGGAGAAAAATCAACGGGAAACAAGTACGCGAACGATGAGTCGTCGAATCGTGGACAGAATTTCTATATTTCCATCGTGCTCGTAACTATAATTTTACGGTCGCTCGGTTCATCGTGGATTTATCGTATTTTCAATCGAGAATTGAATAGAAAACGGGAATGCACGAGTACCGATGATGGCGGTGGTTGGCCACGGTTGCATCGGAAGAGAATAAAGTTCGTCCGAAAATTTCCCGTGAAACTAGCAACCTCGTCGCAATAAGTCACCCGGATTTTTCGATGCAAATTTTTAAACGGGATAATAAATATCCCCAAGGCGACTACGTGACTGGTGTACTAAACGAGCTGCCGTTCATCCTTCAACCGATCTTGTCGTTCCTTTTTATATATTTTTTTTTTCTTTTTTCCTCATTTCATTTTTTCGCTGCTTCTTCGATCAAGAATTTCTTGTAAAAATAAAGTAAAATGCATCAATTTTTTAGCTGATCGAGTGAAAAACGCCTTTGGGTGTTAAAGGATTAATCCGAAGTCTTTAGAGTAAACTTGATGGCGGACCATGGAGAGAGACTTTTACGGTTTTCCTTCGCCTCGATTTTAGCGCCCAGTATTTTTCTTCCATCAAGCTGAAAATTATTTAAACACTCGTTGGATGAACTCTGACCCGGTCAGAGTTCAACTCACGTTCGAGTATAATTATTTTTCATAAGTTTCTTCGAATCGATACAATTGGAAGTTGATCGAAAGTTTTATCGTACAGATTTCATTGCTTTTCCTCGGGATTTCTAGCAACAGTTCCCACGGTTCAAAAAGGCAACAACGGATTTCGTAGTTCTCGAGGGGGAGGTGAATTAAATTAACTACCCCCTTCGAACTTGGTCGCACGACCTAACCGCTTCTCAAACTTTTATACCGTATTTTTTCTTCCTTGCCCCATCGTGTTCTTGTTTTTTTTCTCTTCTTTTTTTTCTTTCCTCCTTTTGTCATCTCTCGACCAGAATAACGAACAGAATGTTAATCCAAAAATTGTCGATCTCGACACCCTTCTTTTCTTTGCCTTTCCCTCGACGTGACCTCTCTCCCGTCAGCTTTATTTCTTCGCCGAGAAATCCTCGATGATTTTCTTTTCCACGAACGATTGGACCCTGGATTCTTACTACTTCTTTACCTGCTGAATATTCGATTGAAATTCGCGTAACTCGTAATACTTCTTTCGTTCTGTCGTGGTTTTTGTGATCACGGGACGGTCGTTACTATTCACGACACCGGCGACTCGAATTGATTATTTCATTTTTCTTTTATATCTAGGTAGAGTTATTATTTATACATATTAGGATTTTTCGTTGTTACAGATGTTGATCAAATTTTTTGATAACTTTTTTCTATACATAAATTTTATATGGAATTCGATCTCCAGCTTCCTTTCAATTTTCTTGCTTTAATTGATATATTTTTCTATGTTACATTTCGTATTTTTATGAAATTAGAGAAATTTAAGGTGGAATGAATTTTGCAGAGAATTCGAGGGAATACAAACTCGAGCTTCCGTTATTGAAATACTTTTTTAATTACTTTTCATTCTTTATCAAATCAAAGAAACTTTAAATGAAAGAATTTTGCATAAAATTCAAGCCTTTGTGAATTTTTTTCTCTTTAATTAAAACACTTTTCTAATTTCTTTTTTATACTCAAAGACAGTTGCGTAAGCATAATTGTCCGATGGGAGGGAATGAAAAAAATTCTTTTCGTATGTCATTAGTACCGTATAATTTTCTTCGTTTCAAAATATTAAAACTTCAGAATTTCAAAATTGTAAAGTTCTAAAATTCTCTTCAACATTTTTTAAAATTCAATTTCGTAACAGGAGGTTTAACTATCCAAAGCAAAAACTTATTATCCATTCGTTTCTCCTTCTAATTCATTTTTACTCTTCCTTCTATTTGAACTTCTGTTATCATTCTCTTCTCTAAATGTTTGCTCCTTAAATATTTTTATGCTTGAACGTTACTTTTACAACTACTGAACGAAAACTTTAATCGCATTCTTTTTCTTGAATTTTTACTTTCCATTCCATCTGAAACTACTCGGCTGGTATTTTCATGAACCTCTCTTTACCCTTTCAAAATTTCATCATCGTTAAGTATCAAGCAAGGAAAAAATAATTCGAATACGCTTACTGTTTCGTTGCTTTTCTATTGTCTTGTTTCAACGCGAATCGGGTTCGCTAAGGAACGTCTTTCTTATCTTCTTTCTCCTACGTCGCTGCGTTTCAAGCTAATCTCAACCCTTTATCTTTTAATTGCGCGAATCGTGCAATGAATCTTAATTACGTTGGTCAACTATTTAATCGTTAGATTTTCTCCAGACTTCACGATCTCCCCGTCCTTTTCTATTATTTCACGAATAAGGATTTTCGTTAAATGCAATCTTTTTTAATAATTTATCTACCGACTCGAACATTTTTGTTTAACCCGAACAATGGCTACCCGATTAGATATTTTCGGTTTCTCGCACTACAAATTTTGTCTCATTCGTTATGTTTATAAGTTTTTCTTTTTCTCTTACCTTTCTCGTTGCGCACCGTTGAATTATCAAATACCGCGCACTTCGGTGGAATTCACTGAAACGAAATAAAAAAAATATCTTAATAAATAACTATGGCAGACATAAACGAGTTTCAAGAGAAATTTCCGAGCGAAAGATCAGAAAATCCAGCGCGTAGAGAAAGCACACAGAAGAGGGAAGACTTCTTTTATTCGGTCCAAGGGGGGCAGGAAAATTTAATTGGCCCGCGGAGAGAGCGTTTCACGAGAAGACAGCTCGTGTCGGCGTTTAAAAGTTTCACCGTCGCGCGGCCAAGAACGTCGACGCTTTAATTCCACGAAAATCGTCCGCAAAAAGGAAACGTGAGAGGTGAGAAAACGAGCGTGTTCAAGGAACCAACGACGACAGACTTATTTTCTATTGGACACTTTGTCTAGCTTGATAAAACGAGAGAAGAACGACTGACGAATTTCAAACACAGTACAATATATCCCGGTTTTAATTATTAAATTTTGCAAATTTTAATTGCAATTTTAATTAAAACAGGAACACGCATATAAGTGTTTGTCATTAATGCAAGAAATAAATGAATCCGCTGACTTCGATTATTATTGATGTAACTTTGACTTTGACCTTCTTTTGGGGTGAGTGATTTTGAAATTTTTAGGATCTAGAATTTGAAAATTCTCAAATTTTAGAATTTTAGAAATTTGGAATATTAGAAGTTAGAAATTTTTAGGGTCTGGGATTCTTGATGTGTGGAATTTAGAAAGTCTAAAATTATGCAGTTTCGAAACTGGGATCTTACAATTTTGAAATTCTGGAATTCTCATTTTGGACAATTCCATTTTGGACTAATAAAATTTTCAATTACATTTACGTGGTAATCAACCTATTCACAGTTATATCTTCTAATTATCTAATTTTTTAATTGTAATACTGGTACATAATTTTTGATCAAACTTTGGAACCAAGTTCAATCTCCCCTCAGGACAATCGATCGACCAAGGACAAATGACAGCTCCTTGGATACCGGACACTCCAAATATCTCGTGTTTGTCCAGGAGGCAATGGTTAGGTTTACATTAGGGCCACTTCCGCCCAATTGATTAGTCTCAATCGGTTTAGTCGGCTCTTGGCCGCTCCCAAAGACCGCTTTTATCGATCCCTAGCGTTCTTGTACTCCTCTATGGGGTCCCATTCGAACACGGAAATTAAGGCAATTTCTATTTCACTCAATAATTTAATATACACTAATTGGTGTAATGGATACACAAATTTTCAATAATTGATGGGGTTTCAGGAAATCAGAGGTCCTCAGGAAAAATCACGATGCCACAGTTGCCCAGTTCTGTCCTTCGTTATATGTAGGAAGTCTGGAGAAGAATGAGAATTTTAATCTTTTATTCTGAAAGGAACACAGTTTCGATCCAAGCGAGAAATTCGTACATTTTTTTAAAAACATCTGTTCCCGACAGGAACACGTTAAAATGTGCAAGAAAATTTCTCTCAAGAACTCTGTTAGCATATTAACGAGACGGGATATCGTCGAAGCACTATTTGTACGTGAAACTTCGAAGCTCGATCTCGGGATGCGCGTGAAGCGCACGATAGCAGCTACGAAAATTAATTACCCCGTTCGATGTTCCTATCCCTCGCAGTCTGCTGCAGTGCATGTTAATTACAATAACACCGCTTATGAATTAACGCTCGCCATCGATCTTGTCGTTTTCCACGAACATTCCCTTTATCAGTCATCATCCATTTACCTTTTATAATATAAACGTTGCATAATCGTACAATAATTATTTTAACAAAAATTATTTTATCTACGTTCGAATATGAAATTAAATAAATTAATATAAAATTCAGCTTCTGTCACACGTGTTAGCCGAAAGGACCCTTATAATTTCGACGAGCCGTGCCTCTTTTTGGCCGACGTTTATTCGCGAAAGAATATTTTTAGCTGGCAGGGAGGGCAACTATGACGGGCAGCCGCTAGCCCGCTCGACATTCTACCGGTTAATAACCCCTTCTTCAACGTTTCCCCTCGCTCGTGCGTTCTTCTCTTCTCAACGATGCTGCCCCTGTTCCCTGCACGGATTTTCCGTCCACCAAGGCACACGTAAAAACGCGGAACACGTAAGCCCGTCCCAACGAGGATGCCTCCCGGATCGGCCCTTTTACGGCCAGACCAGCTGCGGATCATCGGTAACCGAGAAGCTCGATGAATCGCGATACTATTCCGTTCAGCGATTCGCAGTTGTTCGAATAGGTGGATCAATGGAGGTTTTGGTAAAAAAATTCTTCAATTATACAATTTACCTCTGTCGCTCGAATAACGAATTAATTTTATTGCTTCTAATTAATAGAGATAAAATGATAAGAATTAAAGAAGATAAACTGAGATGCTAAGGTGCTTCTCCATTGATCCCCGATCGTTTAGTAAAATACCCCATAATTTGGATGTTCCGTTAAAGTAACGTGCCTTCAATGTTCCCAGAAGGGACTTTCCAAGACTTTAAAGCTTTCAAAGAAAACTTTCGAAATTCGCGGTGAAACGAATCGAAAAGCTACCGAGGAAGGAAGAGAGCTACCTCGAACGAGATGAAACCAGAATTGGGGGTTAAAAGCAAAGGGACGGCGATCCTTTTCCACGGCCCATCTAATCACGTTAATGGAATCTTAATGTCGCGACTCTTACTCTTTCGAAGTGTGTAAAAAACTTCCATAAAAGGAGGCCAAACAAAAGGTCTCCCTGTCGCTATGGAAAATTAAGGAACAATGACGTGGGAGGGCGAGGAGGAGAGTGAAAAAAGAGATAATAAAATCTAAACGAACCAGAACAGTTTTTTCTTCCTTCTTTTTCCATCGATACTCGACTCTCTTTCAGCCGTTATCGATCCAGATTTAACCCATTTCCACTGGGTCACTGATTTACGCTGATTCTTTATTCGTGATCGAAATGCAAATTACTTTTTCATTGATCTGTACTGTGTAGAATGTAAAACGCGATGAAACTGGAAATCATTATTTTAAATAAAGTCGATGATCAAATTATTATAAGCATGTATTCGGGTACCCAATCATTCGAGTTCGGGTAGAATCGAGAATTTTTTTCGAATTCAAACAGAATTCCGAAAGTTAATCCAACACATAAGTCTCTTCGAGTACTTGTAATTTCAAGATAAAAGATAGCTACTTATATATTTCTTTTAATTGTAGAAAATCTCAAATTGTTGTCATATGTTATTAAAAATATAATAATATCTTTGTATTAAACAAATTATCACTACAAATGTATTTTCAAATGAATGGTAATTTCGAAACGTTCATAATAATTTCATTATCCAGTGTAGTTAACACCATCTATTTTGTATGGCTCGATAGAATCGTAATAAAATCGTAAGTATAAAAAAAAAGGCATGGATTATAGATTGTGGTACAAATGGGTACGAAAATCGACTAACCGAACGAGTTTTCGACGACAAAGCTTTTCCATCGTTCGCTCTCGATCTTAGCACCCCTGTTTTGTCCCGGAACAATGGAACCAGGAGCAACCCTGCTCCTCTCATGCATAATGTATTCATTCGACGGGCGTCACCGGCCGCGATAAAGCCGTATCATTGTTTACGAATCATTGAATCGACTGAATGAAATTACACCGATACCACCGACTACCACGGAAACTTTCGATCAACGTGTGTCGCGACGACCACTTTGTCCTATCGTTCCATCCGGGGTGGTACTAGCGTTATTTACTGTCGCATTTGTCTGCCATTTTAGCAAATTCTCCTAAACATACGTGATCGTTCAGAAAAAATAAAACGTTCCTTCTATAAAATTAGATCAGCTGCTATAAAATAGCGATACACTTTCTTTAAATGATTCTTTATTAAAGAATTTCACTATATTCTCTTCTAATTTTCATTTAAAAATTAATGATTTAATTAATATTATGTGATTATATTATTTTTATTTCTTTAATCCTCAAACAGGGTTAAGTATAATATTAATGATACTTAATTAATATCAGAAGAATAATGTAAAATTTAGGAAACAAAAATGATATGAAATATAAAATTAAATGAAAACTGAGGCTCTCCCTATGATACGCTATCCGAGGGTTAATAATGTGTTTGTTTTAAAAAATAATTAAAGATAACAAGATTCTACATAAATCGAGAACTAACTGTATTGCCGTCTAATTTATTTGTTGAAAAAAGAAATTAACGAAGCACGATTGATGCGACCAGTACGATTTTGTCAACTCCTCTCTATTTGGTATTCTTCGAAGGAACTGTCGAGCGTCTAGGGGAAAAGCAACTTTTAAACTAGTCTAGTCTAGTTCCAAGCGTTCCAAGAAACCAAGTGCTGGAAAGTTTTCGATTCAGAGATCCGAGGAATCTGAGCTCGTGGCTCTGATCGTGCTACATTCAGTCCTTGTTGCATAGAATTAGAAATCCAGCTACCGTTTTCTAGCTGTTTAGAATATTTCATCTAGAAAAGTGTAGACGTATCTTACACGCCATCCGTGATTTTCTCGCTATGTATTTCAGTGCCGTATCCAGGATCGGATTAAAATTTCTAGAGCTATAAAACATTTGAGAATCCCTCTTGGTTGATAAACTTGGTATAGAAATTCAAATTTATTCTAACTAAAATTAAATATCATTTAATCCGAAAAAGAAGCAACAGTAAAAATATTTAATTTATATATTTTCTGATATATTAAATGGAAGGTTCAGAAATAAACTCCCCAGGAAAATGGGACCACGGTGCTGTGACCCTTTGATCCGCTCCTGGTCGTACTAGGTAAAACAGTTAATTATGTTAAAACGTTTCTTCGTGATATTCCGCAGTGTTTAACATCTGTTAAGTCAATGCTGTAATTTATCATTCTTTTTATCATTCTCGAGGTTTCAGCCGAAAGAGGGGAAGAAAGTAAATTAGTTGCGTTTGAGGAAAGAGAAAAACATCCACGAAGTTTCTTTTCAATTCCGAGGCAAGGAAAGATTGGTCACGAAATCCAAGATCATTCGTTTCTTACGGAACACCGTTTCAAAGTTTCGGTCT